AAGGAGTAGCAAGTTCAAGGACAAACATCCAGCTGATAAACACTGTTTTTATAATTATCTTTTGTCACGCTTTTTTTTTCTTTTGAAATAAGTAAATTGACGTTGACAATTTATGGGAGCCATGTAAGCGTTACCGTTGTGTCACAGTGTTGCGTTACCGTTGTGTTCGCTCTGCATGCGCAGTCAAATGTAAAAGGAAGCTGGCCTCGTGGTTTTCGTAGTGTCAGTGCGGGCGGTGTTCGAGTTTAATGTTAGCATCAAGTTGTATGTAAGATTTCTACTGCCCTTTAGCCAGTTTCGCCCCAACGTCGGGATAGAGGTACGTAAGAAATTATTGTTATCGTTTTCGTCATGATTACGCGTTTTGTCGATTGCCTGTTACCTCGAAATAGTTTGTAATTTCATAGATGATTGACATCTGTTGTTCATAATCGCTCAATGACTTCTATTCATTGCAATTGTAAGTTAGTTAAGGTCGCCTGGTCACACTACCCTTTATTTCAGTTTTTACGTATTGGATCATCATTAAAGTTGCCACATTTGTCTACCTGTCGTGGTTCATTGATGGCTCCGATTCAGTCTGAAAATCTATCGCCGTAACAGGTATTGTTCGGCGATTACCTTTTCAATTCTTTGGTGTTCGATTTTCTTAGGGATTGTAAAATTTAATTTAAGTATAAAATGATTTTTTTTTACTTTGATCACTATACTTTTCAATACTTATTTGTGTTTAAAACAGAAAACTACCTGGAAAGAAAACTACTTGTTGCCCTTGCTATATATCTAGACTTCCTTTACTAGTTTTTAGATTTCCAGCACAAGTAGAGTCCACCTCGTTATTTCCGATGTTAATTTGTAATCATTAACCGGTAGAAATATTCTTGAAAGTGCCGTTCCCGAGACAACATTTCAAATGGAACTGAGGTCACTATAGCCGGAGAAATTTGAAAACGCAACAATCACCGGTCATTTTTGATTTGTGTTTGAAGAAAAACTCTAGCAGGGAAATCATATGATTATCTTGGCTTTCAGGAAGCGAAATTCCAATTTGAAGGAGACCATGACTTCTCAATGTACATAGGAAGGCTTTGATAAGTTCGCAAACGTTTGGAAGTTAGGTTTTCAGTAATTGTGAATACATGTACAACTATATTGTGAGATTGGTAGAAAATGCAGATTTATTATCCAACTGCAGCGAATACCGTCCAAATAACAGTACAAATATACAGCGATATTGTACAGTAGAAAACCTGTTTGCCATATTTGAACTGTAGAAAATCTGTTTGCCGTACAGGTCGGCGCGCGCACGCAAAACTGTCATACTCTCCCTCTTTCATTGATAAATTCATTTACTACAGCAGTTGGATAATAAATCTCTTATTAGATGTTTTGGTGTGTAGTATCGCTGTATATTTTTACTCGTTGTTTGTACTTGTTTGTACGGCACAAGTCGTAAAAATATACAGCGATACTACACACTAAAACATCCAATAAGATATATGTATCCTCGTAAAAACGAAATTAATGCCTTGACTCGTGTCCGTGTTTTTTGTCGCTATCAAATATGACCTCGTGGAATTCCAACAATCTCTTGATTAGATGATACTTAGAGGTATGTTGGCGATCCTGCGATGGCGTAGCGTAACAGTTCCCGGCTAAAACTTGAAGATGTCTGGCGTTAGATTTCACTGAGGCTTGGAGTGTACAAATCCTGTCTCAGTTTGGCCTCCACGGGGTAGTTACTTTTCGTGTAGGCTGTTGTAAACCTGATTAACGAAAGAGAAACAAAGTCAGACTATAAACTGAGAAAGCTGAGAAGCAAACAGTCTATAACAAGTCTCATGAAACTGCTGATAAATAAATTACTATATTTAGAAAGGGAGACACATCAGCCTTAGCTGGTTTTCACGCGGGTCCTCTATCCTGCTCGAATTTGAATTTGGAGATGTTGTTTTTAGTGGAGGGAGGAAAACCGGAGAAGCTGGAGAAAAACCCTCAGAGCAAGGCGAGAACCAACAACAAATTCAACCCACGTATGTATGGCACCGGGCTGAATCGAACCCGGGCCACATTGGTGGGAGGTCAGCGCTCCCATTAATGTGCCATCCCTACTCCCCAGTCTTTGCTTCCCTTTGAAAAAATGGTTGGTGCCTAAATGTTATTCTGCCCGTCTCGCTTTGGTGAGGTTAAATCCTTAGATGACAGTTTTGTTTCGCAGAAAACTAAATTTTGAATAAACGCTCCTGGTAGTTTGTCTTACCAAGTCTGTTTCGCAAAACGACGCCTTTCCATTACGTTTTGCCCAGCCAATGTTAAAATTATTAAAATGCTTTATACTATCATAATTTACTGTATCACCAGGTGTTTCGAAACTTCAATTGATCATCCTAACCCAGCTATATTTCTGCTTGCCCAAAAACATGGGTCGGGAGACTATGAATTTGTAAAGCATACTTGGAGTTCGGGTTGTCTTTTCACTTTGAGTGGATAATTGACCAAAGCCGAGCGTAAGCGTGAAGGGCAATAGGGTAAATGTTCAGCAAATGTTTATGAGTAATCATTTTCAGTCGACTTTTAAAGTTTTCAGAAAAGTCTTTGCTTAAACAGAAGAAATTCTTCAACACAGTAGGTCATAATTGCAAACTGTTGACCTGTCGCACTATAAGAAAAACCTATAAGGAATATGCCTTTGTATGAATGGCGCATAACTTTGAATAACAGCACTTTGTACATCCTCAGCCTCGTACTTATGTTTCCAGACAAAGGATTTTTCACATGAATGCGAGGCTTAGGATGTATAAGCATTGTGATTCAAAGCTAGGCGCCATTTATGCAAACGGTCCATGGTAGCAAGAAACGGAAACACAGTTCAGATCCCGTTTTAAAGCAGTACCAGTGTGACGGTTAAAACAAACCATGTTGTTACTCAAAACTTAAGACAACATTACATAATTATGCTATTCCTTTTGCTGGTGAGAAATGTCTAGAGCACATCAGACAATAAAGATGAAAAGAAGCTATCGGCAGTCAGGCTTGCCGGCTACTTTGAATATTTAATTCTGCGTAATGTGACCTCAAACCTGTGATGACAAAATACGATCAGAGTTGATAATCACTTTTCATGGTATCTGTTGCATTTTTTTTTTTTTTTTCGGTCGGCATATTCGAAGTAGATTTTGCAGCAATCCCCAACGACACGAATAAGTTCTGCAAGGAAGAATAAAAAGCAACCAAAACCTACATATTAAGTTATAAACATCATTATTTTCGAAAAAATCATGCTGATGCATCGACACCTGACTGCATTCAATCATCACCGAGACAGCGATTACATCATTCTTTTCGCCTCAGCTGAGACAATGTAACATAATCAACAGCTGGCTTTTTAAAAAGCATTTGAATCACAAGTCTATATTACATAATTTTTGTTTTGTTAAAAAAAATAGCGTTGCAAAAATGTATCTTACGTTGACCAAAAACACCTTCCAAACCAATGAAGCTTTGGGAAAAAAATCTTTGTCAGCTGCCTATAAAATGGTTACTCCACTTTGTGGATGTTGTTTAATTAGTTGTCGCTCATGCAAAGAAAGATACGTCGAGAGGTTTCTACGTATACCATGAAACTTGTCCTTGTTGTCGTGATAGCGTTGGTATTTTCCTGCAGCGCACTTGCCAATGGTAATGTGGAGTCTAAAGCAAGCCCTGTTGAGCTCGAGGAGCAACTCGGAGACATTGCAGCTAAAGAGAGCAGATATTTTCTATCCGCGTTGGAGTTCGTAGAGGATTCATCTGGTGGTAAGAACTTTTTGGCATGCAATTCAAAAAAAAATTGCGATTCTTCAACTATGCAAGTTTTTTATTCCTTCTCTTAAAGCAAACACTCTAGAAGCTTTCATAAACGGTGAATTACACTTCCTTTATTTTACGTTTTGCTCCATATATTTCTGACTTGCCCTCGACGGTTGTACAACTGTTTACGTGCTGACGTACAGATTACCCTAGTGGAAAATTTTATGTAATTGTCTTGTTTGCATTGTGTGGTATTGTCTCTTACCAAAGTAGTTGTCAGTTCCTGGATCGAACGAATGAACTAAGTCACTTCGATTCGGCAATAGACCAATTTCGATGTATTAAAATTCAGCCTAAAACAATAGACCTCAACATGAAGCTCTGGGGAATAAACCCCACAAACTCTGTAGTTATTCCCCGGAGCCTCCTTCTGAAGTCTATTGTTTTAGGTTGAATTTTAATATATCGAAATTGGTCTATTTATCAATTAACAATTAGTATAATTCATACACTAAGCCGGAGAAATTTGAAAACGCAACAATCACCGGTCATTTTCGATTTGTGTTTTGGGAAACCTCGGGCAGGGAAATCACATGATTATCGTGACGTCTACGTTATCGGAAAGCTCCGTTTTCCAAAATTTTCCCATGCACGCTGAAACTCGAAGTGGGCGTTTTCAGTCTTACGGTTTGAAGAGCGTTTTCGAAAAGCTCTGTTTCGTGACGGATAAGTGTGGACGCCAGGCCTAACCATAGAAATAAAGCTGCGTGTTCAATTTTGGTGTGGACGAGGCGTTACTCAAAAATGAAAAATTTCTTCACCATATAGTCAGTCCGTGTGCCATTGCTCCGTGCAAGAATGGAGGAACGTGCCAACCTATAGCAGGTGATGACTTCACTTGTCAATGCACCGAAGGATTCTATGGAGATAATTGTGAAAAAGGTAAGTACATGGTGACCAGAATTTTAATGTTACTTTATACATTGACAGAGAAATGATGAAAAATGACAACTCAAAGGGCCCAAAAATTCACTGGTAGAATTCGAATTTTGCGTTTTAAACGAGCTTTTGTAACATTGCGAACTTAATTAAATGTACTTAATTATTCTCTTTTGTTAGACGTCAATCAATGCCTGACTTCTAAACCTTGCTTAAACGGAGCTACGTGTGTCAACAAACCTGGAAGCTACAGCTGCACATGTCCACAAGGGCATACTGGGAAAAACTGCGAAAAAGGCAAATAAGATTATCTTTATTTTTTGACGAACATATCTAAAAACCACACTGCCAAAGGCTTAAAATAACCAGTCCTCCTTTCAAGTTGAAAAATATTTTCTTTGAAGTTAAGCTATATCACATAGAAATTATTCCATCATTCTGAACAGCCCGAGTTTTCTATGAGCGAATAGCCAACGACGCGTAGAGGAGTTGACTATCGCTCACAGACAACAAGGGCGAGTAGTTTCATTGTTTTAGTACACACTCTCAAGGATTACAGGACAAAACCTCCAGCAATTTTCCCGTATTTTTAAGCCTAAACTGAATAATAATTGTCAGTTTCAAGCGCTGAAGGTCCGAGATCATTGTCGATCAGCGAATAACGATTAGAGAACCAATCAGATTCGCGACTTACAGTAGAACACAAGTTGAGTGGCTACAAAAAATGTTGTAAAACAGCCAAGAATGGCTTGAAAAAGTCTAGAAAGTTTGTAAAAAATAAATTTCTGGCAAATTAAAACTAGCTGATACTCATTCAAGAAAGCCACTAAATGGACAAAATGCAAGACTTTTATTAAAATCTTGCTTTTCATGCCTTTTTTTAGACATAGATGAGTGTTTGACCACCAATCCTTGCTTAAATGGAGCCACGTGCCACAATTCCCTTGGAACTTATCGCTGTGAATGCTCGTCAGGATATAAAGGAAAACATTGTGGAAATGGTAACCAATTTCCGAATTAATAATAATAATTATGATTATTTCAAAATAAAAATGAGCGATAGAAATTTTACGCAACGTTTCGATGTCGTCATGTCATCATTATCAAGTGACAAGAAAATAACGGTTCAACAGTGTTGTATATGCGGTGAGAGGTGTGATTGTTCGTTAACATATTTGTTTAAACAAATAGTTTCGCGCGGATGGAATCC